TTTTTAAATAAAAATCAGAAAAAATCGTCACGGCCCGTCTATTTGAAAATCAAGCCCTGAGGCTAAATAAGATTCATATATCAATAACTCTTCGAAATGTGAACAAACTGTGTATATAGAAAATCAGCATTATTTATTTCTGCTATCGTTGGGAATATCGAACATTAGTCAAGTCTCTTTGGCAGAAAGTGTGTATTTAAGTGAGTATCTCTACATGTATTTGTGTTTGTGCATATACTGAAGAGATGAATGATTGATGTCTATAAAATTGTTTTGTCGGAAAAATTTCAAGGAACAGACAAGTACAAAAAAACAAAACAAAAAAAAAAGGAAGAGTAAGCGATTGATTCATGCTAATAACCTCCTTATTGGATTAAAATCGCACGAAAACATTTATCACAATATAACTATATAGAGAATTAACATTTTACCAGATGAACCAAAATCCCATCACGTGTGTTTGCATATACATAAGCGCGAATATATACACGTATACATATATACGTGCACGCTTGATTATGATTATGAGTTTGTGTGTTTGTGTGCGTGCGTATAAGCATTTAAGCAAATATATATCCTTCGTTTTAGCAGTGATGGCAATAAAAAATTCTACTTCCGTCCGCCATTTTGACCATCTCTTACGTCGACCGTCCATGTCGTAACCGATGGGACGTTTTGTGTTTTAAATGATAAGGATACGTTTGATGGCCGTGCTTTTTGTAATGTGCATTCTTCTTGTGAGGTGTAAATTTGGAGCCGTAGAAAATCTTATATTGGTAGATTTGTCTCTCTGGGGTGTTGGTGTTTTCTACAGCTTCATACGGCAGCAGACGATACAGAGTTGCTTCCGACATGGTGCGGTAGGGCCGACCAACCAAGATTCTGAGACCGGCCTTCGGATAGCTATGCATGCTGTGTGTAGACGTTGCATCGACTGAAAAATATAATATAATATATATATATTTAAATTTTGGTATCTCAACCGTATCAAATCCGAAAATACACAGTGACGTCGTGACACCCAAACAAGTGATTTTTGTTTCATAAATATTTATAAGTTTTTTTTATTTATCATTTCACCCCAAGCCAGACGATACATTGATTTGTTACCTCAAAAGAACAATTAAAATCTTTTAGTATCGGACAATTTAGCGATGAGTTTTCCTGAAATTGTCCATCTCCGTCGAGTATTGCTGCAGACATTAGGACGTAACTCTCATCTTGCCTTTCTCAGTGTAACAAGGAAGCCACATAAGGGAGGTTTCCTGACGTTTAAGTTTATCTATATTATAAAGAAGGGTTAATACTCTATCCCTCACAAATATTCTGTGTGTGACCTGGCAGGCGCTTATATAATGTCTATGCATATGTTTATGTTGCGGGTGGGTTAGGGTTAAGGACTTACATGTGATTTTAGCATTTAATGTATACATAAGTGCACACATATATACACATGCAATTTGAAACAGGAGATTGGAATGATGCATTCCTTCCCTACTTAGTCAGGATAACCCTTATCCTGGGTTGAGCAATAAAATCATAAAATTGAAAACAAGAAAAAAATCATTTTTTTAACTCTAAAAATCAGATGATTGTAAGATTTTTTTTAATTTATTAAACATTTTGGAAATTATCGGATAATAGAATTATTTTGTTAATTGTCTTTTTTAAAAAAAAAATCTTAGGTCTCATTGAATTAAATTATACCTGTGTATAAGCAAACGTACATACATAATTTGAATGAAATTGAAAAAGACATCTTTGTCGAGAGGGCTAATTTCCTTTTCTATATGGCAACAAAGCCTGGGTAACAGAAAAATAGTATATGTCAAAATATGTGGCCCTTTGAAGTCATTTTAATGATTCCTCCATTTAAACAGAATATTTTTTAAATCAATTTAGTATTTTAAATAAACAAGACATTTAGGTTTGAAATTCGATCATCTTGCCGTCAGCTATGCGACAGGTACTAAACTAGTTATTATATGTATTGATTGAGAAGGGAAAATATTGGAAAATAAACATTATTATGTCCATAAAGGGAAAAATAAAAGATTAAAATATTCGGTTATTGATCATGTCTTGTTCTCATTATTAACTAATCTTCTTATCGCCTTATTGAAGTTTTGTGTTTCGATAAAAAATTACTTTTTGATCAGTGTTTTTCTCATAACTGTTTGTATCATGGAGTAACAGTCTAATTTTTTTTTTATATTATTTATAATAACAATCCCACCTCCTTTGTCCGAAGCGGTATAACCGAACAGCACTCTAAATTGCCCAAACTTTATAGTCTACCCAAAACACCTAAAGCAGACATTCTAATGTGACCCGGCATTTCTGGAATTGGTAGCGCTCACCATAGACTAGTGTAAGCCGTAAATCCCACATCCTTTATACGATTTGAAGGACGGAAGAGAATTTCCTCTCTTCCACTTGTGTCACGTGATAGCTGCTCTTTGTGAGACTTGTGATTCTTTTAAAATTTTCACTTAAAGGAAGAATGTTAAAGATTCTTGGTAGATCTGAATTGCCAACTTCACTACTATTTTTCTTTAAGAAATCAAATTCCATCCTTTCCCCTCTGCTAGAAGTGTGCGTAGCATTGGAGCCAACGGGATAGCAAAGCCTCGCCTCCATCGAGCAGAGTCATTATTCTTTATGCTGCCATATATTCTCATTCGAAAAAAAAGGTTAGCATTTAACGGCTAGTACGAAAATCATACCTATTTATTATATACTAGCAGTAGAGCCCGGCGTTTCCCGGGGATGTAACAGTAAGAGATAGATCGACCATCATAAAGACTGAAAAATAAAATTGACAAAGATTATTGTTTAAGGTTGTCTTAATTAGTTTTTTTTTTTCTTTTTAAGAATTGGTCAAACCCAAACTCAAACAAAAACATTGTTTTCAATCGTTATGAGTCTACCGATTGAATAGAATTTTATTATAAACAATTGTCTTGTAAATGGAATTTTTAAAGCATTCTGAATATGAAAATAAAGAAAAAAAGTGTGCAAGACAATAAGAAACACTACCTACCAAAAAAAAGTGATGTTTTGTTGAAATCGGTTGAAAAATGTAGGAAATCCGATACCACACACACACACACACACACACACACACACACACACACACACACACACACACACACACAAAACAACCTGGTTTTTATAATAAGTATGATTAAAATAATTTTCAATGAAATTCTATATATGCTTTTAGTATTTGTTATATCTCCATATACGTAATCATTAGGGTGTAGTTGGCTAGGTGCTCAATAATTTTTGCCACAACTTAAGTAAATGCCCTGATTTTAAATGCAAATTTTCCAGGAAGGTAAGCAACTCTTCCAATATGAAAGAATATGTTATGCTAATATCTGTATTCTATTTGACCAAACTTAACAATTAATCAATAAAATTTGTAATCGAATACCACTCTAAATTGCCCCATGCTTTGAATATTGCTATCACATCTGGACTAGTGCTCCTGTTATATATTTAAAGATTCTTAATATAATCCAAAGAAGAATCTGCAATTTTATTTGTGCTGACCTAACATTTCGTCTTTAGTAACTTTCACACTGCCGAAACTTAGCTTCCCTGTGCCTTTTCTATAAATACTTTTATGGTAATTGTTTTGATGAACGTTCCTCTATGGTACCTGGATTCGATGAATTTAAGCACAGTACTTGACTGGCGACGCGGTTCAGTTGGCTAGATGTAACCGTAAATTCTATGCACTTCTCAATTCAGGCTCCATGCTTTCTAGTCAACTTTAATCTTCAAAAATTTAAATGAAATATCAATCGCTATATGCTGTCCTCCAGATTACTCTTCTATTGTGCCCGCTCCTTAGTAATGTTACTGTTTCCTAATTCAACTTTTCTTTTAAGCATCTTTCATTAATTGTGAAATGGACAAAGTCCGACAATTATTTTAAGACATGTTTATGTATTCTTTTTATAGATACAATTATTTAAGTAAATGTTCTGCTTATAATAAACAGTATTAAACAACATTTGCCGGCCTGAATCCGAGAAATTTTCAGAGAAAATATTCGTCCTCCAACAGGAATCGAACCTGTATCCTATAAGGAACCGTCATATAGCCTGACGTGCCTTAACCGATTCGGCCACAGAGGAGCGTTCGGTTAGCAAGGTCGATTTTACTGTCTTTGAACTACAATCTTCCATGAATCTCTCACGTACATGGCGTATCAAAATGTAAACAAATGACGTCACACATTAGTTAGTTGTTTACTCGTGTCGGGGTTTTTTCTTTGGGCTTTAAACCTGTATCTGTGCGATTTTTTTCGACAGACTTTCATGTTTCTAGCGCTTTCATTTTTAAAACCTTTTTTTCCTTTGTGATTGATTTGATTATTAGCAAATCAAAAATTCGAAGGTTTTTCGAAACGAGTATAGTTACCTATATATATATATATGTATAATACTTCAGAAGAACTTTTTAATTACTTAGTCAATGATACAAACCGACAGTTAGAATTAGGGCCAAAATTCTCGTAATTCCTATTAGTTCAGTAAACACGGTATCACCCAGATTATTAGGACGACTCGCTTTATTCCGCCGCTGGCTCCGTTTTGTAATCAATTCATAATATCGTATGATGTTTATATTAGATATTCACATCTCACGCAACATGCACGCTACGGCGCTTGTTTTACAAGCATTCGGTTGTCTTTGATAGCAACGGGTTATAGACATTTATTAAATTGTGTTTTTTTTTCTTTTTTCACTTCAAAACGTAGAAACAAGTGTATGATGGGAAAGTTAAATTGCTTTCAGATTTTAGTTAAAGGCGCTGATGTCATACCTAGTAAATCAACATGTGCAGTAGTTGATGCAGAATTATATTTACAAAGAATACAAAAGTAATGTAATTAGGATAAAAAGCCTTGCTGGCATTTGTTTTATAGCGAAACAAATTTCTTCCGTGTGGTAAAGGAACAAATATTAAAAAAAGAAGTGAGAAACTAAAAATATTGCGAGGTAGTAGTGGTGGCAGTGGAGAAGGAGGAGAAGGAGGGAAAGAGAGGGTGTATAACAGGAGATTGTAAAAAGAGGGAACAGAAGAAAAATAAGAATATGGCGAGAGGGAGGAGAAGGAGGGGGGAAAGAGAGGGATTATGACAGGATATTGTAAAAAGACGGAAGGGAAGAAAGACAAAATTATAGGGAGGAGGAGGAAGAGGAAGAGGAGAAAGAAAGGTTGAAACGGCATCCAAAAAAGGAGCAAGAGACGAGAAATATGAATATAGTGAGGAGGGGGGAGAACGAGAGGACGAAAGGTGATTCTAAAAAGGGGGAGAGAAGAAAAATAAGAATATAGTGAGAAAGAGCAAGAGGAGGCAAAGAAAGAGAGGATGAACGGAGATTCTAAAAAGGAGCAAAACAGAAATAATAAGAATATAGAGAAAAGGAGAGAGAGAGAGAGAGAGAGAGAGAGAGGGAGAGAGAGAGAGAGATCCTAAAAAGAAGGAAGAGAAGAAGAGAAATACGAAGAAATGTAATGAGGAGGAGAAGGAAGAGTAAGAAAAGAAAGAGACGGTGAAAATTGCAGACTAAAAGGAATAAAAAAAAGTAAAAAGTAAATAAAACAAACAAAAAGGTAAAAAGAAAAAGTCATGAAAATATCGTAAAGGAAAAAAGTGAAGGAAAAAATGTGAAAGAAATTATTAACCATGAAAGAACAATTAACCATGAAAGAACAATATAAATTATCCTGCAATAATGTAATTTTCTATTCTTCTATGAAGCGTGTCCATTCAAGAAGTGAATGATCATGGCTCCCCACAACTTCCTATCCCTTGCAGCTCTTAGTATCATTTGTCTTCTTACCATCGCTGCCATCCACTTTCTGCCAATCCTCTAATATGTCAGTGAATGCTGGACAATTTCTTTACAGGTGGAGAGAAGTGAAGCAAGAAAAACAAAGGAAAGACTGCTGAACTGCTATGTAATATCACTCCTCCTATATTGCAGTGAATGGCTGGACAATTTCCTCACAGATGAAGAGGAGACTTGAAGCAAAAGAAACAAAAAAAGTCTGCTGAACTGCTATGTAATATCAATCCTCCTAAATGGCAGTGAATGATGGACAATTTCCTCACAGATGAAGAGGAGACTTGAAGCAAGAGAAACAAAGAGAAGAGTGCTGAACTGCTATGTAATATCAATCCTCCTATATGGCAGTGAATGCTGGACAATTTCCTCACAGATGAAGAGGAGACTTGAAGCAAGAGAAACAAAGAAAAGAGTGCTGAACTGCTATGTAATATCAATCCTCCTATATGGCAGTGAATGCTGGACAATTTCCTCACAGATGAAGAGGAGACTTGAAGCAAGAGAAACAAAGAAAAGAGTGCTGAACTGCTATGTAATATCAATCCTCCTATATGGCAGTGAATGCTGGACAATTTCCTCACAGATGAAGAGGAGACTTGAAGCAAGAAAAACAAAGAAAAGAGTGCTGAACTGCTATGTAATATCAATCGTCCTATATTGCAGTGAATGCTGAACAATTTCCTCGCAGATGAAGAGGAAACTTGAAGCAAGAGAAACAAAGAAAAGTGTGCTGAACTGCTATGTAATATCAATCCTCCTATATAGCAGTGAATGGTTGGATAATCTTTTTACGGATGAAGAAGAGACTTGAAGCAACAGAAATGTGGTTCTACAGAATGATGTCCAGAATACTATGGACCGAACATGTGAGCAACTACAAAGTTCTAAAGACAATGGAAACAAAACGGACACTTATACATAACAGAAAGAAAGTGACAGTTGAAATATCTAAGGCAATTAATGAGTAAAGAGAGCTTAGAACAAATTGATACTCATAGGACTGATTGAAAGCAAGAGGGGCAGAGGAAAGCAACACATAACCTACGTAGCGAGCTTGAGTGAATAGATGACGGAGCAGGGTTTGGGAGAGATAGGAAAAGCAAAGCTGCAAAGGAAGGGAAATTGTGGAGAGCCACGATCGTGAACGTTCTGAAGGGACGCACCACATAGAAGAAGAATTTGGAAGACGATCGTAAAACAAAGAAGCTATTGTCGTCTTCATAGATAAAGTGGGAGTAACAATGGCAAGTTGGAAGAAAGACATGAAAAAAAGATTACAGCACACACACACGCACGCATACGCACGCGCATTGCACAAGCACACACACATGCATACGCACGCGCATGCACACACACACACACACACACACACACACACACACACACACTCACGCAGAGATAGAGAGAACGAATGACGCAAAGCAGAATGGATAGAAAAGGAGGGAAAATTTCCAGGGAGGTAAGAAATAACTGTCATAAATCATTGTTGGCGCCATTGAGATGAATGAAAGGCGCTTCTTCCAGATTTTCCTGAAACTGAATGCCTAAAAAATCAAATCAAATGAAAAGTAAATCCAGACGAATAGAAAAGCATTTGCCCGTATAAGAATGAAAAAAAAAGAAACAATCCAGTCATTTCCAATTTTATTCTGTGCCCCCCTCCCCCGCCGTTCCATTTTGATTCTATCACTTATGTACAAGGTGGTCCGAAAGTCTTGTCACCCACTACCTCTCTTCCAAACTGCAGGAGCTCGTGTCAGCCATCTGAAACAGAAAATTATATTATGTAGGTGTGACAAGACTTTCAGACCACCCTGTATATGCAATTTACAGGGGCGGATCCGGCGGAGCGTGGAGAGTGACCCCCCCCCCAAAAAAAAACCCAACAAATTATGAGAAAATCGAATGAGGCACTCAATCAGTGAAGACAGATTTAACGTATTTGTTCACAAAGGCATTCTGTTAGACGGATCAAATCGTGAACTTCTATGCAAATAAGAATCCAGGAAAATTGACTTTAGTAAATCCTCTTTTATCAACACTACATAATCACACTTTGAATCTGATGTTTGAATTTTGAATATCAAATAAATAAAATAAAACACAAATTTAAATTCATACCTATTTTAAATATATTTTCTTTTTATACATACAAATATTTAAGTGAACGCTCTAGCCTAACAACATTTAGCGGCCTGAATGTTCGAGAAATCTCATAGAAAATGTGCCCTCTGACAGGATTCGAACCTGTATCCTACACGGAACCATCATATAGCCTGATGTGCTATACCATTTAACTACAGAGGAAGCGTCTTATTAGCAAGGTTAAATTACTGTTTTTAAAATACAAATTTCCACATGATAGCTCTCGAACGTTCATATCTGGTCGAAATAAAAAAAAATGACGTATAAACAGAAAATATATTAAAATAATTGTCAAACGTAGTCCATTTCATAATGTATATATATATATATATATATATGTGTGTGTGTGTGTGTGTGTGTGTGTGTGTGTGTGTGTGAGTGAACTCTCTCTACTAACTTCTGTAGCCTAATATACATGAGCACAGAATTTAAAATTTTGAATTGAGATTTTTACTGAGGAACACCCGCATCTCCAACTGAAAATTCTGGATCCGCTCTTCCTGCTCGACTATTTGTCGTTCTAATCGACATTCTTGCATAGAGTTAATATTCTAGAATTGTACACTAGTTGTTAGTGTAGTAAATACCAACCAAAACTGGTACCCCAGTATAGCGGCCTTGTATCAGACGAAGATAAATTTAGAAAATATTTACATGTCACTCCAATATAGATCATCATACGCATGCGCAAAAGTTCTTATACAGGCATGCATATTACTATAAACGTTATTTTTAGCGGATACACGAATTTGTGTTGCTATTCTATTTTTTTGTTTAAACGGAGAAATTAATAATAACAGACCTAGATTGAATCGCCCCGACAGAAATCGAACCTGTATTCCCTTTTCCATCAGGAAAACCGCTTCCATATCCGACATGTGCTTTGATCAATTCAGCTATGGCGGTTGCGTTGATAGAGCAATGTTTGACTTACCTAATTAAAGAATGCGCTTTACTCGTTAGTAGTTCTACGAATCTATATATATAAGTTTCAGTTTCGTACCGTAACGTAACGGTAGAAATTTTTGAATGTATTTTTTTTATCCGACATCATTTTTTATTACTATAAACGTTGATAGCAATAAGAAATAATGTCGGATAAAAAGAAAACTCTTGAAACTGCTAGTCAACATGCGCTGTTGATTTTTACGTCTACACTGCTTCTTTGTATCTATCTCAGTCATATCCATTCAATGTCTCTCACTCTCCCTCACTCTCTCTCTCTCTCTATATATATATATATATATATATATATATTTCCATACGGACAAAAACAACTTACTCACTACAAAGATATATATATATATATATATATATATATATATATATATGTGTGTGTGTGTGTGTGTGTTAATCATTTCACCCCAACGGATAAGCCGTAATGGGTTACTGGTGGTGACGGAAAATGAGAAAACTTTAAGAGAAAGAACCAGAAACACAAACCTAAACTGGAAATAAGAGATAAACCTCTATTTCTGCTCAAAAAAGTCAGAACCGGGCGATAGGTTTACCTATCTACACTTATTATATATATATATATATATATATATATATATATATATATATATATATATATATATATATATATATATATATATATTTTAATATTTTTATTATAGAATATTTTACATCGCTACACAAAAATTTCTATGTTTTGGAACTTAAAAATTGTTCCATTATCAGGCGATTTTAGGTAAATTATGATGAAAATGATTTACTTGTGAAATCAGAAACCAATTCGGTAGCTTATTTGAAAGTAAAATAAGGAGTGGGGTACACGATTTCAAAGTTTAGTGGGTATGTTTTGGTTAACCAATCAAAAGATGGATCAAAGCTAAAATTGAAAAGTGAAAAATTAGGTTGGAAGTTAGGGGTAGGTTGAAATATCCCTGTAAGATATTGAAGGTTGAAACGAAGGTAGTGGAATCGGCTGATCTCCTAAATTTTTTATACTATATATATATATATATATATATATATATAAATATAAAATAAAAAAAAAAATAAAAATTTAAGTTATGCTATATTTATGGGAAAAGTGATCAATATCAGCGATAGGGAGCATAAAGATTGTGACAGGTGGGGATAATTCCAAAGAGGATATTAATCCAGAGAGAGCTCAATGTAAACTACAGAGAATAATAATAATAATAATAAATTATCAATCACCTAAATGGATCTGTAAGTTTTTCTTCTTGATTCATATATATATATATATATATATATATATATATATATATATATATATATATATATGTGTGTGTGTGTGTGTGTGTGTGTGTGTGTGTGTGTGTGTATTATCTCTCTCTCCTAGCGTAATTATCACCCAAAATGAAGCATTGTTTCCATATCTGAGCTGGAGCTTAGCAATCCTCACATTCCTGCTTTGATAGAGTTCAAAATTATTTGCGCAGTATTGTGGTGAGGTGGGGAACATTTTCTTAACTATACAACCTCTTTCTTAGAGACACAACGTCGCAAGCTCAATGCTACTCTTTCTGTATTTCCATGCCAAATATTCTTGATAAAATAGAAAGAAGGATATGCAATGTTATTGTTCATGACCTGGCAT